CTTCTGGGAGACCTATAATCCTATAATCCTTATGTTGTCTCTGTGCACTGTCTGAGATAAGTATGGAGAGCATCCTTTCTTTTAATGTTATTGCCCTTTGCTTCTATTCTTCCAGATTGTCCTTCATCTCCATATATTTGCATTTCCAATCAGTTATCTTCTCTTACTTCTTCCTTGAGACTTGCTGTTGTAGATTCAAGTTTTCCATTCTGCTAATTATTTCTGCTGCGAAGGACATAAATTCTGCTTTCACAATTTTTATTCCTTTTATTCAAGATCCTGCTTTGGTTTCATGCTCCCTCAGGAATCTTTCGGATCCTTGGCCTCAGCAAGTGTCCATACATTCTCTTTTGTCTTGTAATACATATTCATAGATACTTGAACTCTTTTTCTAGGATCTGCAGACCTTTTCCCCATGTTCTTCTAACATCTTCCCTCTTGGTTTATCTGCTTATGCTCAAGGTCTTTAAACGAGTCTTTTTCCTCCTGAGATTTTTGGTAATATCAGTCTTTTAGAAAAAAATTTCCCCTAGTTGCTCACTTTCTATTTCCCTCCCATTTGATGGCAGTTTCCTTGGAGATTGGATCTCAAAGCTGTCTCAACCTCTTTCCTTGCTGCAGCAGCCTAGGTCCCTGCTCCATGTGACTTCTAGGTGGGCAGAACTGGCCCCAAGTGGATGCTGGCATCTTATCCTCAGACTTACTGGAGTGACACACAGCTCTACATCTCCTCTTCCCCCACCCCCCAAACACACATTTGTGCTGACCCAGTTCCCTCTGTTCTTCAGTTTTCTGGCAGAACTCTGTTGGGGCACAGATTGCTACTGTCACACTCCTCAATGATGTTTATAGCCTGAGCAAATTTCTGTCATTTGGATCTTGGAGGCACTGGGAGGTGAGAGGGGGTGTCTGGGTGCAAATTTTGAGTTCTGTTGCAAGCCCATGGACTGATTTGTTGTGAGTGAGTGCTATGGTGAGTGAGCCTAGTAAGGGTCAGAGATTAGCTTTCTCCACTGTTAATTCATTGATTTTTTTATTTTGTTTGGGTTCTTGGTATACTAGAGCTGAGGTAGACAGCTGAAATTGCTTTATCTCTGGTGCATAATTCCTATTTTTGAGAGGTTTAAGAGATTGTGAGGATGAGAGAAAATATCTAGTCCCCTATCTGGTTGGTCACAAAACCTGGAAATTACTGAAATGTAGTGACAATCAGCAATCAATAAACATTCAGTACTATGCATCAGGCATTGAGTTAAGTGCTGGGGATACAAAAGAGAAAGCAAAAACAGTCCCTGCTGTCCAGGAGAAACAAAATGTACATAAATTGGTACATATTTTATTTACAGAATAGATAACTTTCTGTTTCACACTTTCAATTATATCTGCAATTAATTGTTAAAAGGGACTTTTTGTGAGAGAAACTCAATATTAGTTGATAAAACAAATATTTATCAAAAGTCAGCTGTGACCACATGAAGATGAATACTAAATGAGTAGCTGGCAAATTATGGCCCAAATGCAGTCTGCCACCAGTTTTTGTACATCCTGTGAACTAAAAATCATTTTCATATTTTAAAATATTTTATTGTATTTTAAAATGTAAAACCATTTTTAGCTTACAGGTCATACAAAAACAGGGGGCAGGCTGGATTTGGTTTTGATCCACAGTTTGCTAACCCTTGTTCTAAATCACTAATAGAGAGGAAAACTCAAAACGATTCTAGGGTTTCACTTTATATCAAGCAAATCAGCAATGATAACAAAAGATGGAAACAGTCAATATTTGAAGGATTCTGGGAAGATAGGTACATTGATGCGCTATTGGTAGAACCGTGAAATAGAGTATTTCTGTATGTAACTCTTCTGCATTTCATTTTGAAATTGTGCAAGAAAAAGGACTAATTTGTCCATAACGGTTGACCCTGCAATCTTACTAGCAAAGTCAAAGACTGAAACAAAGGTCCAAAAGATACCAAAATTTGTGTGGTAATAAAGCACTGGAACAAAGTAGATGCCCAACATTTGGGAAATGGCTGGAAAAATAGAACATGAATGTAATGTAATGATAAATATGAAGAATGCAAATAAACTCATTAAATTAGTCAAACTCTGAGCAATTAAAAAATCAATAAAGTACCATAAAAACAAATAATGAAACATACCTCCTTGTGTCAGAAAGACAGGAAATACTAGGGCAGAATAGATGTGGTCAGTGTACTAAGTGCTTTTGCTCATTTTTTTTTCTTTCTTCAATATGGAAAGACAGAGTTGAAATGACCTTGCTATAAAGACAAGACATAAAATGTGTTTTCAAGCCAGTAATAACCTTAACAGAATATAACTAACTTAAGAAATTTCAGAGCTCTTAGTTCTGGGCTTCCAGAGACCAAATTTGATCCTGGGGAATGACACCCCTAAAAGATACTTTTACCCCAAAGAGACCCCACTCAGAGTTCCCTCTGGCAAATTTCTGAATATACCCGCCTTCTTAGTCTCCACAGATATGGTTAAAAGCCCCATCCTTTTAGAGGTCTCACACACTCAAAATAATAATGCATTTACAGGACAACCTTTATTTTTCTCTACAGAATATGCAAACAATGGAAGAACCCAGAGAAGTCTACAAACTATGGAAAACACAAAATGGACTTACAATAGCCTATAAATAATCAATACAATTCTGGTCCCTCTAGGTGGGTCTTATTTTTCTCTGGAGTTTCAGAAGTCCTCTAAAGTCAGCAAATCAGAAAGGAACAGACTTTGGGTTTGCCTGAAGGCGAATCCTCCTATCACATATTATAGTTAGTCCATCTTTTCCCAGATCAACCTTCTATACAAAAATCCCACATAAAGAAATGGAGCAATAATTTTTTTTTAGCATTTTCATGGTTTTAAAGAATGAGGATTTTAGTACATCTTTCTCAGTTCTTAGAACAAGAATGTTCCCATATAAAAATTATATTCATGAGATTCCATAAATTTGTAGAAAAGAGCTTTGTACTGGTGTCCAGGAGATGACGTGACAGGACTATCAAAATCTAAAGAGGTAGTCTGGTAAAATGGAAAGCATGGGGAGTTGGTGTTCCATGACCTGAGTTCAAATCTTGACTCTCCTATTCCTAAGTAGGCCTCATAGGGCCTTAGGCAAATCATTTAAACTCTGGAGGCCTCAGCTCCTCATCTGCAAAATAAAGGATTTGAAAGAATTGACCTCTTAGGTCCCTTTCAGCTCTAAATCAATGATATTGGTTTTTTTCTTTTAAATTATTACAAAATAATATGTCCCCCTTCCATCTTCTCAAAATCTTCATTCCCTAAACTATATAAACCAACCAAAAGATGGGAGTAAGTTGTGGTTCCTTTTAAGACTAGAGGCTTTCCTCTGCAAATAAGATTAAGATGCTGTAAATGAGATCAGGACATTGTCATCTTTTCCCCCTCAAGCTAAGACTTAAAGGGTACAAGGTACAAGAAGGGCTGAGTGAGTATACAATTCATCTCCAAGTATTTGCTCTTTCAATGACTTCAGGAAAATGCAAGTAATTCCATTTTAATGGGAAAATGCAGTGTATGAACTAAAAAAAAAAAAAAAAAACATGCTTTATTTTCCGTCAAACAGTCACTCACGTTTATTACCAGTTTCTCCCAGGTTTCACAAACACTCGTTTCTAATTCTAGGAACCCTGAATCAATCCTTGCCCACCCCGACTGCCACCACTGGCATCAAACTTCTCCGGGAAACAATATTTCAACACTCTCAATTCTGCCAACATCCCTTACTATTCCCCGGGAAGTAAATTTTAAAGAGATAATTTAGGTTGCTGACCTAAAAACGCCGGATTTACTGTGATCACCCGGATGCCTTCCAAAGCTCTGCATGCAGCGCCCACTCCCAACTACAGAAGGCTTGTGCAAGCGCACGGTTCTAACGGGGAACCTTTTTCCTCGCCGGGTTCAAGCTCCCTAGACCGCGGCAGTGACTTAAGGAGGGGGCCAGCGTGGGGCCGCTTTGGGAACCTCCCGGAGGGACCCGGCCTGTGGCCAGAGCCCCTCAGCAACTGCAAGCACGCTCGACAAGAGGCTGCGTCTTCCATTATAATAATTACATATATAGTCTATATATATAATACACACACATTACATATATGTATGTGTGTATATATAGACATATACAGTATATATGTGTGTGTGCATATATATGTATGCATGCATATACACACACACACACACACACACATATACACATATAGTCGATACGTTCGCCCTCCATTCTCTGCCAGTTTGAAGACGGGCTGGCGGTGGCCGCCCTGCCTGGGTGCTGAAAGCAGGGGACTTTTATTTGTTCCGTCAGCCACGCCCGGCAGGCTGCGCTGCTCGTGCGGTACAGGTTCTTTGCCCAGCCCATCTCTCCAATGGACGGGAGACCTGCACACCCAAGGGAGGGGCCGTGGAGACCCTTGTGGACGCCCCCTCAGCTCTCCCCCTCCCACACTCCCATCTCTCCACTCGGAGGGGCTGAATCAGGGGCTTACGTCCCTCTGGTCGCCTTCCCCCTTCTTGTTACTCCACTCAACTCATTACCTGCCTGAACCTCCCAAGCGTCAGGTTAACCCAGAGCTGGGGAAAGGAGTGGAGAGAGTGGGGCCTCACGCGCACGCGCGCTCCCAGACCGCTGGCTCCGCCCCTCGGTGACTCTCCATTTTGCTCACCCCTCTCTCTGCCCGCGGGAGACACGCTAGCACCCGTTGCTGCCCGGCACGTCTTCCGCTTCTCCCCACCTCCTAGGGGCAATGCTCCTAAGGGATGCGCGCGCATTGCCTCCTCCTCGCCCCGCCCCTTCGATGACGGAGGGTGTGGGCGGGGCCTCTGCCCGCAGGCGGGAGGCGAGCTGGCCCCGCCCCTGCGTCCTCGGGGGCGCGCGCTCCTAATCCAGCGCCTTCCGGCTCCGGCGGCCACGTCGAGCTCGCGTCTGTCCCCGCTCCTCCGGAGGCCGGGCCTCCGTTAGCCCCGCTCCGGCCGCTCCCCGGCTTCCGGGGCGCCTCGTTCCGGGCCGCCTGCAGTTTTCCACGGGTCTTCGGCGTCGGCGGAAGAGGACCCCGCCTGTCCCCCCCCAGTGCCCCTCCCCCAGCCCGGCGGGGAGGCGGGGCCCCGGAGAGCCGTGACCCGCGGGCCGGGGTCGCCGGCACTGCCTAGCGTGGCTTCTCCCCTTGACCTCTCCTTGGCCGGAGGAGGTAGGCGCCCGAGGCCCGTCCGCCCCGCCCCGCCGTGCCCGCGCCCGCGCTCGTGCCCGCGACCTCAGTCTGATGTAGGCATCAGGCTGGTGAGTGTTGTGCTTTGTGCTAGCCGTAGTACTATAGTCGTTGCGCACAATGATGATAATTACGGTCCCTGCTGCTGACACTGACGTTGAACAATGTTTTTGGTGTTTTTCTTTAGGTCTTGGAGGCTCAGAATTTGTATTCAGCCCTCACAGCCATTCCCTCAGTTGGCCCACGGAGGATCACCTTTCTCCTGGATCTTTGTATCACCTTCCTCGTTGGCCTTTCTACCTTTACCCTCTCCCTGCAGGTCCTCATTGTGCCACCCAACTTGTCTTTGATGCTTGCCGACTTTGCCACGTGACAACACCTTTTCCCTATTTCCTCTTGGCCCAGTTGTCATAAGTGCCCAGCTGCTGAGAGCAAAGCCGCCCCCCTTGTGTCTTCTCAGCTATCTTATTTTTAAATTTCCATTTCTTACCCTTCAGAGAACAGTAACCATTCAAATAACCTTTAAGAAACATGCTCTGCTTCCTATATAATCCTATGCCAAGCCATGTCACCCCCACAGGGATCCCGTCCTCTCTAAGGAAGTCTTTCCTGACCAGACCCTGATAGACTTTTAGATCACATAGAAATAGAGGAAAATTCTCCCAGTACATTTTGAGTGTTATATTCCAAGTCATTGTCCCTGCCCCTCCAAAATGTACTATTAAATTAGATTTGTCTTTGGGAAGGGAAATCCAGCATTAAATCTTTGTAGCAGAAACCAGTAAAGCGTTGTTACTTCCAAATCTCGCTTTCCTCTCCCCCAACCCCCAGTCCAAGAAGGTAGCACATGCTGAACTGAGAAGCAAAGAGGTACCAGGTAAAAGGTTTTGGCTATAATCGGAAACTGTGAAAATTTTTAAAAGAAGCTTCTTTTGGCAAGGGATAGCATTTCTTACCACGTTCCTTGGTGTTGGGCTTTGAGAGTAATATTCTAGCCTCACAAAACATTTTTGTTGAAAAGCATTTATTAAAAGCTTGTATATTTCTCACTGCCCCACCGAGTCTCAGGAGTGAAGAGGAGAGAACAAGGATTTTAAAGTTCTGTTATCTACTTTCTGCTGTCTTAGAAGTTCTGAATTGCCAAGAACTCAGGAAACAAGTAAGGTCAGGATCCCATCTGTTGATTGTATAAAATATATGGTTAAAATGTCTGGGAAGCGTAAGCGTGTAGTGTTGACAATTAAAGATAAACTTGACATTATAAAGAAACTTGAAGAAGGTAGCTCTTTCAAACGACTTTCAGTTGTTTATGGGATTGGTGAATCAACAGTTCGGGATATAAAAAAGAACAAAGAAAGAATTATAACTTATGCAAATAGCTCAGATCCAACAAGTGGTGTATCCAAACGCAAATCTATGAAGTCATCCACCTATGAGGAACTTGATAGGGTTATGATAGAATGGTTCAACCAGCAAAGAAATGAGGGGATCCCAGTATCTGGAACAATTTGTGCGAAGCAAGCAAAATTCTTCTTTGATGCTTTGGGGATGGAAGGTGATTTTAATGCATCATCTGGCTGGCTAACCCGTTTTAAACAGCGGCATGGCATTCCGAAGGTTGCTGGTCAGGGTACAAAGTTAAGTGGGGATGAAACAGCAGCCAGTGAATTTTGTTGCAACTTCAGGGAATTTGTTGAAAAAGAGAATCTACAGCCAGAGCAGATTTATAGTGCCGACCAAACTGGATTATTTTGGAAGTGTCTGCCATCAAGGACATTAGCTTTTGAAACAGAACACAGCACTTCTGGGTACAGGTCGAGCAGAGAGAGAATCATCATCATGTGTTGTGCTAATGCTACTGGTTTACACAAACTTAATCTTTGTGTAGTGGGGAAAGCAAAGAAACCCCGTTCATTTAAAGGAACTGAACCTTCCAACCTCCCTGTCTCTTACTTCAGTCAAAAAGGTGCATGGATAGAACATCCTGTTTTCAGACAATGGTTTGACAAAAATTTTGTGCCACAGGTAAGAAAGAATTTAAAAGCCAAAGGGTTGCTGGAAAAAGCAGTATTGCTTTTGGATTTTCCACCAGCTCATCCAGATGAAGAAATCTTGAGTTCAGATGATGGTAAAATATTTGTGAAATATTTGCCTCCTAATGTGACAGCTTTAATTCAACCTATGAGCCAAGGAATTTTAGCCACAGTAAAGAGGTATTACCGAGCAGGACTTCTTCAGAAGTACGTGGATGAAGGTATCGATCTTAAAATGTTTTGGAAGAACCTAACTGTGTTAGATGCTATTTATGAAGTGTCAAGGGCATGGAATATGGTGAAGTCAGTGACCATTACTCGAGCATGGAATAAACTTTTCCCTGGTAGTGAGGAAAATATAGGCTTGAACTTTGATGAGGGAGCTATTTTAGCAGCTAACTTAGCCACAGTTTTACAGCATACAGAAGGTTGTGAAAATGTTGATATTGAAAACATTGAAGACTGGTTTGAAGCTGAGAATGCTGAACCGAGTTATGATGTATTAACAGATAGTGAAGGAACACAAGGCCAGGTAGACCAAGCTGATCACGCAAGTAAAAATGAGGAGGTAGAGGAAACAGAGCTTATTTCACAAAGGCATATTAGCCATAAATCTGCTCTTGAGTGGACTGAGAATTTACTAGATTACCTGGAACAGCAGGACGATATGCTTCTGTCTGACAAACTGGTATTAAGAAGGCTTCGAACCACAATAAGAAAGAAACAGAAGACCCAAAATAATAACAAAAGTCAGTAACAGCATTTTTAAGTGTTTGTGACTTTGTGACTATTAACTTGCACTGAAACTTCATCATTTAGTGTTGTTAATTCCAAAGCCAAATACATTTTATAAATGAGTTTAGGATTAGCAATGCCACTGCTTTCTTCCAGTAACACTGATTATTAAGAGTTAATCTGTAACCTTCCAATTGTTTCTAATCTTTATTGTATTAATTACATCGTGTCTCATGAGGCTAGTGATCTTGTGTCTTGTTTTGTACCCAAATGACGCATAGTCTCATATAGAGCCATTTACTTTTGGCTTCTCAATAAATACTAACTGAATTGTATATTCGCTGACCTCAGTGAACCTTAGTTTTCAATTTTAACATATAGGATAAGTTTTTTATTCCCATGACATTTCTTCATAGGAATACTTCAAACAACTCCACAAGAATTTTGCTTCAAAATGTTCACCATTATAAAAACTGGATCAAAATGGTGGGAAAAGGCTGAAGCTTTCAAAATATGGAAAGACTGAAAAAGTGATATTTAGAAAATCAGTGGTCCAGCTTTGATGGAGGTGAATGAAGAAGCAAAATCAAAATGTCTCTTTTCTGAAACTGTTTTCATCTTCACCTCTGAGGGTGGAACTATTACATTCTCCTGGGAATCCTTTATTTTGTCTATTGATCATACAGAATTAGTTTCTGAAAAGTGGAATTGGGAATAGTGCATTATGGGTATGGGACTGGTAGGAGAGGAAAAACATTTCTTATCAGGCAGCATAAGCATAAATGCTTCATTCATAAGCAGATCATGCCAGCATAACTTTCTTGCCATTTGCAGGCCTCTAACTCTTTAACACACCAGGCAACTACTAATCACCAGGTTAGGGTAATTTGTGTAGGGAAAAACTCTCAGGAGAAAATCGTTAGCAATTGGCAAATTTTAAGTTAGGGCTTATACTTAGACTGGTAAAGAAACTTAGCATTCAATGTAAAATGAGAAAAATGATTTTGATCCTAACTGAAAATTATTTTGGTATTAACGTTCTTGCCAAGACAGTCAACAGGATTTTATTTAAAAATTTATTCCTGTATTAGGAAAATATAATTTTTTAGTGATATTCACAGTTCATTAAGCTGTCTAGTTTTTGTTTTTTTAAACTTTAAGTTCGCCCAGAACCCTGAGAATGTTGGTTGAAATTAGTTTGAGTCAAGGGGATTGCCATCTTGGGAAGGTAGTAGGACTGGAGCTTTAGGATGTGGGGAAATGATTGCATTATGAAAGAAAGCATCAGAAAAGAGCTTGGAAGCTAGTGGGTATGATAACCAGGGCTGGCAAAGTGTGCAACTCAAGGAGGAAGCCATTTCTTCATTTTCCAATTTGAGAGTTGTCATTGGGCCCCACTTGTACAAAAAAAATCTTCCTAATCAACCTGCTCCTTGTGGCTAAAATTTTCACCATTAATTCATTGCATAGTGATTGCACCAGTGGCACTTGCACAAACACTTAAGTGTTGGACTGAAAAAAATGGAACTGCTTTGAGTTAAAAAGCATTTTTGTATGGCCTTTGGTAAAATATGTGTTGTCTGAGGACAGACATTGCATAGTTTAGTTTGCCAGATTAGTTAGCTGTTAGAAGTCTGGAATGAATGAGGCACAGGACAAGTAAGGTTTATGGGAAAAGACATACATAAGATCACACAGAAATTTCATGTAGGATTTGAAGTCAGGCCCTCTTACTGCAATGCCTGTCTTTTTTCCTCTGTAACCTTGCTCTCTAAGAAGTAATATACAGGATATTTAGAAAAGGTTACTTTGGTAAGTGTCATAGTGGAGTGAGAACTAGGAATCAGGAAGATGAGTTTTAATCTTGCCTCTAACTCTTACTAGCTGTGTGACCCTAGGCTAGTCACGTAACTTTTCTTGACTTCAGTTTCCCTATCTGTACAATGGAGATAGTACCTATATTGTAGTGCTGTGAGCATCAACCGATCTAATAAATGTACATTATTTTGCCATCCTTAAAGCACTAGGTAAGGTTAGCTACTACTACGGCGCTAAATCTGAACTGAATTCAGTGTTTTGGAAGCACCATTATTTGGCATGTTTTTATTCAAAAATGTGAAAATCAGCTGTAATTGGTGTAATATTTTATTATAATTTTTAAATGTAACAGTTTAGTTGGTGTTGCTTTAGGACAGCAGTGCTGGAACATGAACTTTTTTTAACTAAAGATTACAAATTATAATAATAGCATTTATTTTTATTTATTTTTTTAGGGAAGAGAGAGCTTTATTCTGTCCACATGTTTTGTATATACATTCAGTTTCAGCCCACCAGCCAATTGAAAAGTCCTTCATCATGATTCTTAAGTGAATAGTCACAGGACACCAGATCCAAAATAGGAAGAACCCTTCCATCACATTACACATTCCCAAAAGCAGGATCACCAAGTCACCTTGAGTTGATGCACAACAGATATACAATATAAGCTCAATAAACTGTGTTTCCATTGGCCAATAATACTTTTTTTTAAATTTAATTTATTTATTTTTAGTTTTCAACATTCACTTCCATAAGATTTTGAGTTTTAAATTTTCTCTCCGTCCCACTTCTCTCCCCTCCATCCCGAGACAGTGTGCAATCCAATATAGGCTCTACCTATACATTCATGTTAAGCATATTTTTCCATTAGTCATGATGTAAAGAACAATTAGAATTAATGGTAGGAACCACAAGAATGAAGCAATAAAACAAAACAACAAAGGAAAAGGAGAGCAGACAGCCTGCTTCCATCTGCATCCAGACTCCATATTTTTTTCTCTGGGTGAGGATAGCAATTTCCACCATGAATCTTCGGAGCTGTCTTAGATTCTTGTGTTCCTGTGAAGAGCCAAGTCTTATCAGTCAGTCATCCCGTAATGTGGCTGTTACTGTGTACAGTGTTCTCCGGGTTCTGCTCACTTTACTCAGCGTCAGTCCATATAAGTCCAGGTTTTTCTTAAGTCTGCCTGCTCATCATTTCTATAGCACAATAGTTTTCCTTTACATTCATATACCACAACTTGTTCAGCCATTCCCCAATTGATGGGCATCCTGTCAATTTTCAATTCTTTGCCACCACAGAAAGAGCTGCTATAAATATTTTTGGGGCACAATAGCTAGCATTCACATAGTGCTTTAAAGTCTGCTCAGCACTTGGCAAATGTCTCATTTGATGCTCTCAGCAACCCTGGAAGGTAAGTGCTATTATTATCTACATTTTGCAGGCAAGGAACAGATTGAGAGAAGTTAAATGATTTGCCCACCAGTCACACAGCTAGTGAGTTTTAGATAGGATCTGAATTAAAGTCTTCTTGACTCCAAGTCCAACTCTCTTTCCTGTGCCTGCCTCTAACTGAAATGGGATTCTATTTAGCTAACCCAGCACTGAACTTGTAATGAAGTGACCTGAAGACTCTTTTAAACAAAAATTTGCCACGTGACCCTTTTCCACATTTCATGTCAGTGACATCTCAGGCAGACAGTGAGACAACAAATGGTGCAATGAATAGAAATTGGAATCAGGAAGAACTGAATTGACTTCAAACATTTAATTAAGTCACCCTCTGACAACTTCCATTTCCTCATCTGTAAAAATGGGGGATGGTAATAACACTTACCTCTCGGACCGGGTTGTTCTGAGGGCAAAAAGAGAATAATTGTAAAGTGTTTTGCAAACCTTAAAGCACTTTTGTGTTTGATTTAAAAAAACAAAAAGGTAAGTCAGACAATAACACTGTAGCAGTTGAACCTTTTAAAACAATAGTACTGTTAAATGTGTTTTTTCTTAGCTAGCAATATTTGTTTCAGGATAAGCAACCAAATTTTGGATATTAATGTAAATTGCTAATGATGAAAGATATTTGCCTGGTTTTTAAAAAAATCCTTTTTGGCTTAACTAAATACATATATATGTCTTTGGAAATTGAAACATTGTATTCTGTTGACATTTTAGTGTTTAAATGATCTAATTAAAACTGTAGCATGGTGTAGTAGGGTTGGGAAGACCTGTCTCTGACATGCTAGATGTATGTGATTATGGACAAATTATTTAACTTATCAGTGCCTCAGACTACTCCAGTACTGTGTTGTGTTTAAATTGATAATTATGCATTGGTGAAGAGGAATTTCCCCACACTAATAAAGTCTCAGATTTGAACACTGCTCTCCCTCCCTAATCCCCCCCCCATTCAAACTGTATGTGTGTACACTTACCTATAGTCCAACAATACAGATATTACACAATGACTTTTGGTGCATTTATGTTTATTTTAATTGTAGAATTGGAGTCAGCATGGTACAGTGGAAAGAACATTGATTCTGGAGCCATAGGAATTGTGTTCAAGTTTTCAAGATACTACCTATATAATTTGGGGAAAATCACTTATCCTCTGGGGGCCTCAGTTTCTTTACATATAAAATGAGGGTGTTGGATTAGATGACCCCTGAGATCCAAATCTAGGTAGATCTTATAAAAATCCAGTTTCACCTTCAGCCTAACATTGAGATAAGCTACCTATATAATAGGACACCTAAATTACATTTATTATGTTACATTATAGTAGATATGCACCTTACTATGAAGTAGGAATTCCCCCCACATCAAGCATATAAATACACATCTCTACTAAAATGGCTTAAGATAGTGTAACTGTTTCTGTACCAGCAAAAGAAGATATATGGCACGGTGGACAGAGCGCTGGGCCTGGAGTCAGGAAAACCTAAATTCAAATCTGACACCAGACATTTAGTAGCTGTGTGATCCTGAGCAAGTCACAACCCTATTTGCCTCAATTTCCCCATCTGTAAAGTGAGCTGGAGAAGGAAATGGCAAACTGCTCCAATATCTTTGCCACGAAAACTCCAAATGGTATCACAAAGAATCGGACACAACTGAAGTGACTGAACAACAAAGACACCTCACCACATGTCATCTAGATATTTAGTTTATAATAAGATAATTTTGATAAAAAAATTTCTTATTTGAAAATAAAAAGAAACCTTGATAGAATTTTCTTTCTACATATTCGATATGACCTGACAAAATAATGGTAGTGCTTTCTCTCTTTTCAATTTCCAGAATTTCTTTGTATAGATAGACATGCATGATAGTAAAAGCTGGCTAAATTAGACCAAAGTTAAGAGAAGTAGAATAAAAATTAATGAAATTTTGGACTTTTAAAAAAGAAATAAAACCTAACTCAAAAGCACAGTCATTTCACTGTCACTACCCCTCTTCTGCCCCTCCCCTTCTTTGTTTCATTGTCCTTGACTGAGTTATCTTAGGTATTTGAGACACCTCTCTGCTAATTCTTCAGTCCATCTGTCAGTATTATGGACAAGTTGAGGAGCACAGAATGCTGCATCACTTTTATTTTTACAACAGATAGTTGCTGGGGAATACACTTGTGAAAGTAAGTAGAGGCACATAGCCACTGAGGCACAGCTAATGAACTACCCTTTGTTAACAGTTTCATCCATTACCAACTGAAAACACCCTTTCTCATCAGTGAAGCTAACAAAACTTCATCTAGTGTTGAAGGAATGACAGCTGTTTTAACCACAGAGGACTGGGTTTAAAGCAAGGGGGAAGGAGAAACTAATAATCTGGAGAAAAAAATAGATGAAAATGGGAAGAGTAAGTAGGATGAGAAACTGTGAAGAGAAAAAGCAAAAGTTTTACTTTTGTCATGGAAAGTTGCAATTAATTCAGGGTTCAAGGATCTATAACTAAAAGAATGTACGCAAAGGGCGAAGATGGTTGAGGAAAAGAGGGAAAGAAAAAAGGACAGAAGGACCCAGAGTGAGGGGAAAACAAAATGGGAGAGAAACAAGTATGAAAGATGAATAAATCAGGAGAAAAAAGGGAATCAGAGGAGATGTACTTGGGTAACCTTGGAGAACTTCCAGAGGCCTTATTAGTCACTAAGCCATCAGTCTAACATTTCGCAGTCTTCTGGCATATTGCTGTAAGAGCAGAGTGGTAAGTGGCTAGATATTGAGGAGCACTCCCTCATACTAATTGTTTTTGCTTATTCATCACTTGTGGAGTCAGTCACACTCACATTCTGAACCCAGGTAGTGGAATCAGAAAATTTCATTCATCCAAGACAGAAACAGCTGTGATGGGAGAGTCAGAAGACAGATGGGGGTGAGCAGTGGCAGTATGCAGCACAATCCAAACAGAAAAGGGGCTAGAATAAGGCCCCAAGGCCACCAAGATCTTGGAGGTGGTGAATGCCATCAAGTGAGGGAAGAATGTCATGGACCAATAGAGGACCTTGGGGGAAATGATTTCAAGACTACCTTGGGGATTCCACCCATGTTAAGTGTTCTGGGGCAAAGTACCATTCACTCCCCGAGTCACCACTGGTGGTAGGTGCTATGGTTCTATGCTTTAAAATGTTATCTCGCCTTCACAGTCAGTCATTCTTGCTTCTTTTCTGTATGTGCTATCCAAATGTGCTTTTGCTGTACTTCTCAACCCTGTTCTGTATCCTGGGTTCTGATAGCTGTTATTTTTTGTGTCAAGGCTTCTGTTCCTTATAGGATAGGTCCTCAACATGATAGGTAGGATTCTCACCCAGGCTCCCTACTTGGAACCCCACTATCCACCTGTTTAATTTTTGGTGTTTTGTTAATAACACAATTCCCTAACAACACCATCCTCCATTGAAACCTCTATAATAGCTAAGAAAGTAGGTTAAACAAAACCAATTGACAAGTGTCATGGCTGATGGCATATGCAATACTTTACACTGGTAGTTACTACTTTCTTTTTGAGAGGAGACAAGTATTTAATATGCCAACCTGTTCCAGACAAACAGTTGAGTTTCCTGACCCCCAACTCTGCATTTCTACCTTAACTTCAATAGCTAAATATCCTTCCTTATTCTTAGGGTTATGACCGCTTGCTGTCAAGGTTTCTTTGATCTAGTTAGATGCTTGGTCTCAGAATCTCCTAGCCTGGCCTATTTTGCTGTCCCCCAACATACATAGTAATTTAAAGGTATTTTTCAGGCATAAAATTGAGAAGGAAAGTGTTTTAATGTGTAAGGTTTTATAGTAAGAATCCCTACCTAAAAGATTTTCAGGTAATTTAGTTAGGATGACTTAGAATATAGTTGGATTTTTACAGAAGTTAGTCATTTGAATTAGGTCCTTTGGGAGTATAGTTTGGAACACTTTTGAACACTTAGAAGAAGCTAAGAAATGGAAAAAAAAATGACAAAAAGTACAAAATAGAACTAGGTGTTTCACAGGAAAAAAATCTCAATATGCAATTAAGATATGATACACAGAATTTCTAAAAAGATATTTAAAGCATCTTTTCTTTATGGTAGAAAAATAAGGCATATATTTTCTGTTATTCTTAGCATAAAAATAATCATGATATTTTATATTTTTAAATTCTTAAACCTAGTAGTACCATAGTAAGTTGAGATTTTTTTGTATACATGTTTCTTTTCATAGGATGCATCCTCAGAGGATTTTGTTTTTTGTAATATGATTATACAATTCAATAATATT